TCTTAAACAAACGTTTTTGCTGAGAACTTATTCAAATTCCAAAAACCGAATGCCAACTTGAATTAAAGGAACCAACACTGAAGTGAGTCAAAATTAAAATAAAAGAGCACAAATTTTTTGTAAAGCAAAACTCGCTGGGAATTCTACGAGACATCTTCCGGCCATATGACCGGTCATCTAAATGGGAGATCTGCAGTCTTTTAGCATCATATTTTACATTAGAATTGAAGGGATTTCTGAAAAATCTGACCAGTTCTTTTATGTAACTGTGATTTTGCATCTCTTGTCAAGATAATAGGTTTGTTCGTCGAAAATACAGAGAGAACTATCACTCAAAATATCAGATAGTAATAGTAATAAATAGTTTTTTTTTCCGAGTACCTTTCAAATCATTGGAATTAACTTAATTAATTAAGTAAACAAGTATTAACTTACATTTTTCATTTTAAAATCGCTCCAGTTTGTAAATTTTTAAATTTAACGAACTTGTTTATTCAAATTATCGTCGACAAAAAATCCAACCATGTGCCACAATCATATCTTTTTCCTAATTGCAAATTCTTGCTGGCAAAATTTTTTCATCCAAAAAGTTCTGGCAACGCTGATCACTACTGCTGTCATCTCTCGTATGAAAGAAGCATTTGTTCTTTTAAAATAGACATATCCGAAGACTGCTTTGATAGAGTAATGAGCCCATCTTTTTGGCCAAGCGGTGCCTTCATTCGCGAATTTGAATTTAGATCTAGACCGCAAGGGCAAAATTTGGCTCAACTTCCGCCTTCCACCTCGGCATCAAAAAACTAATAAGTAACCTCACCATTAGCATTTACTACCAAAATGTGAGTGGTTTGAACACAAAGCTATCAATGTTACACTTGCAGTCCCATGATTTTGACTTCAAAGTACTGGTGTTTACTGAAACCTGGCTCAAGCCGAATGTGTTCAACTCCGAAATTTTGTGTCCTAAGTATGAAGTGTTTCGAAACGACCGTTTAAATAAAAAAGGCGGAGGCGCCTTAATAGCTGTCCAGACTGACCTTTTTTCCGAAGAAATTGAGTTCACTAACACCGATGAAGTTGAATTCATCTGCGCCCTGGGTGACTTCAATCTTGCGGGTGTTTCTTGGGATCTAATAGATGGTATTCTAGAACCAAATTCCTCTCGTGATCTCTTCAATCAATTTTTGAACGATCTTTCAGCTCTTAGTCTTTACCAGATCAACTCTATTAGTAATAACTTAGGTAAATGTTTGGATTTAGTTTTTGTGGACGACGTTTCCAACGTCACAATAGCCCCTAGTTATGCTTTGATTACCCTTGTTGATTCTCACCACCACCACTAGAATTGTCCTTGATAAATTCACGCAACTCATGTTGCTTTACCAGCAAAAAAAATCAAGAGCGGAGCGTTACTCATTTAAAACAGCAGATTATAGTAAACTTAGGTTAGAGATATCGAAGATAACTTGGCCCCAGTATGATGGAAATGCTGAAGATAGTGCCTTACATTTTAGCAATTCCTTACGCCATATTTTCAGTAAAATCATTCCTCTGGTTAAGGAAGCTAACGTAACGTCTAAAGCTCAGTGGTTTACTGGCGAATTAAAACGCTTAAAGAATCAAAAATCCAAAGCATTTAAGCTTTTTAAAAAATCTGGCTTGTGTTCTCACTACTCCGCGTACTCCATTCTTAGGCATAAATACAATGTATTGAACAAAAAGTGTTACAATAATTATATTAACAGGGTTCGACTCAATATAGTTTCTAATCCCAAATCGTTTTACGCCTTTGTGAACACAAAGCGTAAGACTAACGGTTATGCCTCAACATTGAAGTTCAATGAATTAGTCTCCAGTGACGAAAATATTATTGTCAAACTACTCTGCCAGTTATACATCTTCCAAACTAAATTCGAATCTATATACCCATTCTTTCTGCCATCATTTGATTGCATCCGAATTCCATCGATATCTGCTGCGGACGTCCTCATTCATTTGAATTGTTTGAAAATTTCATATACAGCTGGCCCAGACGGTATACCCACAAGTGTTCTTAAAAGTTGTGCAGAGTATTTGTATAAGCCTCTGACAAATATTTTTAATGCTTCCCTAAAACAGGGTGTCTTCCCATCTTCCTGGACAAATTCGTTTATCTTGCCACTTTATAAAAATGGAAGTAGGACTAACATCTTAAACTATAGAGGAATTGCGAAGCTTTGTGCTATTCCTAAAGTTCTTGAGGCAATCGTTACTGAAGAACTATCTCACTCTATTACTTCTGCTATTAATCTATCACAACACGGTTTTTGCAAAGGTAAATCAACAGCATCCAATCTTCTTGAATTCACTACTTATGTGTCTAATGGGTTTCAAAACAATCTTCGAACGGACGTGATTTACAATGATTTCAGCAAGGCATTTAATAAAGTATCTCATTCAACCCTTATATATAAACTTGATCGAATTGATTTCCCTCCTATTCTTCTCAGCTGGATTTCTTCTTACTTAGTGGATAGGAAACAAAGAGTAATTTTTAAAAATTGTACCTCCCGGCCAATACATGTCACGTCCGGCGTACCTCAGGGCAGCCATCTTGGTCCCGTCTTGTTTATTTTATTTATAAATGACCTTCCTAAGGTGTTGAATTACACGAAATGCTTAATGTACGCTGATGATGTTAAGCTCTTTAAGTACATTAGTACCGCAGAAGATAGGGAGCATTTGCAAGCTGACCTAACCTGCATTTTCGAGTGGTGTGAAGCAAATTCCATGTCACTCAATTTGAAAAAGTGTAAATTCATGACCTTCTCTAGTAAATCGTTCTACCCAAATTCGTATATGATATCTGACCACAATGTTGAGCAAGTGACCAATTTCATTGACCTAAGTGTAACTATGGATCCGAAACTAGAATTCTAGTCTCACATAAACTACTGCGAGATTAGGGCTAGAGGATTGTTGGCTTTGCTTAAGCGCTGGGCTAAGGAGTTCAACGATCCTTATGTCACTAAAGTTCTC